CAGTAGCGTTGTCGCATGTAGGAAGACTTTTAGAAAATGCTTGGTAAAGACCAGGCCCAAACACAGAACAGTACTGCAATAGCGGATTATGGATTAGTGTATAAAGAGCTGATGTGAGAGAAGCTGGAATCCACTGGTTCATTTGTACGTTTTGCTAATCCTACTTAACACACTTGAATAGCAGCTGTTTCTGGCTGAAAATGCAATTGAGTTCTTATTTCTATTTATATTGTTTCTATCCGCACAGTCTCTAAATAGATCTCAGAACAACCCTCAGATAGTTGTCTGCTGCTAGGTACGTTGTAGTTCATTTATTTCTCCCATTCTAATAGCCTTTTATTTATCTAATGTGTATTTATCAGGGCACTTTTATGTAGTTGCGTATGTCAGTATAGATCTGAATTCAGCTGTTAACTATTGGGTGAAGGTTACACTGGATCAAGTCTAGTTATTTAGTGTTTGTTGGAAACTACTGAGTAAACGTTTTTGAGGATCACTAATGAAGTTACCTCTGTGGTGGGTTTAGCTTAGTGTAATCACAGTTTTATTGGCTGTTTTTTAGTGGTAATTATTTGTATTGTGGTCATACCCTGAGCCCCACTCAGGACTAAGGCTGTGTTCCTGATTTTGTATGTTATTTTTCCATCAAAAAACCCCAGTGATGTAAAGTTATGTTGCAAATGCAAGGGGAGGGATGATTATTGAGGAACTATCGTCTTGTTCCAGATACCATAATTCTAAATCCATGGGAATGTTTGAGAACATTTCTAAAAAGAGGAAAGTTACATTTTAATTTCATTGCATATTATGTCCCTAAAAGGAAAAAAGGTCATTAATCTTCATATGAAATCTGAAGACTCACTGAAGATAAGTCTGCAGAGGATTTTTTTTAAATGTTTCCCATAAAAGCAAAATACAACATAACCTCAAAAATCCAGAATTCTCGAAAATCCGGCACATCGGGGAGTAGCAGCAGCCAGTCCTGGAGTAGCAGAGGGAGAAGCAGTGGCTGGTCCCGGAGCAGCAGAGGGAGAAGCTTGCATGCGACAGCTGCCTCCGCCATCCACCACCCCATGCTGCCGCTCTATGCGGCCACTGCTCCAGGGCTGGCTGCTGCAACCCTTCCTGCCCTCTGGCTCTGCAACTGGCCACCGCTTCGGGTTCAAAAATCCGAAATTTTCACATTTCTGGCAGGTGCTTAGTCCCAAGCATGCCAGATTTATGAGGTTATACTGTAGTTCTTATTTATCACCTACTATTTCATTCTTCCCCTGCTTTTTATTACTAGGGTTATTTGTAGGCCCATGCAAAGCAGCTAGTATTTGCTTTGTATTTGGATTCAGCCGATTCAGGGGACAGTGATTCGATTCGGTGATTTGAATCACTGTCCTGAATTGATTTGGCCAAATCTGATTCAGAGATTCGGCCACCGCCAAATCAGCCGAATCACTGAATCAAACAGGCCTCATCCCCTCCTGCCTGTTCTCCCAGCCCCATCAATGGCAGGCCCGCTCGGTCCCTGCTA